TTCATCGATTCTGTGATCCCATCAACAACGAACCGACCTAATTGGATGATACGTGATACGTTTCACATTGGCTGTATTACAAAACATTGATTTATGTTGCTGATAATGAACAACATGTTCCACAATATATATTCCATTGCACGGTAAGCTTTTTATTTTCACGGCATTGGATACGAGGCATTGTCTCCTGTCATTGGACAGCTAAGCCACCAAAGATCCTCAAAACAACTAATTTCTCGTTGGATTTTTTCCGTGAGGTTAGTTGCAGAGATGCTCTTCTACTAGGTGAATCACGTTGTCATAATATAAGATGAATAATAAAACTTGGGATCATGTCGACTTCACTCCTGTCGATCAACACTGGCCTTGGCTGATCCGTTGGTTGGTTTCAGTTATTACCGACCGCAGCAATCAAGTATGGAAGTGGTTGAAATTATCACTTAACTTAGACGTTTTGCGTCAATGCTATGTTGGGCTGTTCAAGAAACTGAAAGCTTCGGTTAAGTACTCTTCCCACCATGATTGGGTGCATGTGAGGTGGAGGAAGACGCAATAGGACATTAGAAATATGTAGCAAACAAACTGAAGCTAGATAACATAAAAGTGCACAATTTTCTGGCCTATCCCGACGTACATGGTTTGGGAAAGCCGTAAGAGATAGGATAAAACAGTATCCAAGACAGTGAAAAGAGGACTGAAACAAACTACTTCAAACAAACTAACGAATGCGAAGAACTGCATCCGCATTTGGTTTAGAAGATAGAATAAAGGAATAAAGAGCTTAATAAAGTGGTTTTCAGCTATGAAGACGTTCAAATTGGATGAAACAACTGCTTTGATACGCTCCTAAAACAACTTCATAACGGAGATTGTGGGTTTTTTGCCCATTATTTTGCCAGATGAACCCTAAAATGTATCTGTGCTATCCAGTGGACACTGCATAATTTGTTTGACTCCGTTTTTTATCGGCTTTCTTTGATGTTCGTAGTTGAATAAGGAAGTTCTGATTCACCGTTTCACCATCTCTCTCTCTCTCCTGAAACTCACCTACTCACCCACTCTGAAAACAAATTTCGGTGAGATTCGCTAAACATATGAAACGGAATGCTACTCACTGATAGAAGCACGTGTTATTGTGATGTACCAAATAGTCCATATAGTCTGGCGAACTATACATTTTCAACTTCAAGTGAATCCGTTGTAACTTCAAGTAAATCTGTTGTAATTTCAAGTGAAGCCACCGTAACTTCAAGTGAATCCGTTGTACCTTAAAGTGAATCCAACCAATCGCACTCGTTTGGGAATCCCACAAGATGATTGCTGTTTCGGCCGTCAAATGTCACCGATTACACCGGCTCTGTCTAAACCCCATCCAGTCCGAATGAACTCACCTCCCCCTTAAACAAACAAAAGTACTTCTTGAGTGAGTTACCGAGCGAGGTTGAATGTTTCGGTGGGGTGAGGTGTGCCGTCCACCCCCCCTCCACACACACACACCCGTTCCACCCGGGAACATTATGTTCGTGATCGTTGATTGAGTGTGCGTTCTATAGATACAAATGAACAAACCCGGAGCTAATTGACCTTTGTCGGTCGGGTAAGGAAGCGAATCACGTCAAGATGGATCGATAAATCGGTCAACATGCCCAGATGTGAATGTGAGCATGATTTATTGCATGAGTAGAGTCAGTCAAGGCCCACAGTAACCCAATGAGTAAATTCCTTTGAGGCCGAGTTTCTCTCGAATAAAACCAATTCATTTGAATCAAATGCGATTGCTTACGTATTTTTGCCATTGAAATGCACACTTGAGAAGATACTCAACAATGGTGAAAATGGTGCAGGTAGTAGCAGTATTTCACCTGAGTAGCAAGATCAAATTCGAACCTATTCAACATAAATCATGTTTTCTCTGTCATGCCTTAACTGATTAATGCATTCAATCCACAATGCCAATGGTAATAATCTGTTACCTGCGGCTTCTCCCTTTGCTACTCAGCTTCATCGCATAGGTTCTTATCTCTGTTGAATCATGGTATCTTTTTCACATACTGATTACATCTGTGCGATCAATTATAGTTTAGTCAATGAGACAGCTGGTGATATGAATTAGTTACAGTTATCCACGATCCTACAAGCAATGGTAACTCTGTACTGAGTGTTCCATGGGGTATTAAGTAGAGGTCAGTAAAATATCCTAACCACGGTTGTCTTAATACTGACTATCGAATAAGAGAAAAGGTTCAGTGTCACCGCGAATTTCACTTTACAGTACAGTTCCCGTATGTGTTACCACGAAAGATTGCATAGATTGCCGATTACATTCACTAAACAATGCTGATTATAATTGAGAGTTCTAACTAAGCGTCCGGGTGAAATAGCACAATTTTAGTGCGATATCTAGCTTCCTGGATACTGTTAGCAACTAGTACCTTCGAGACGTTGGAATAATATGATTTATGTTCGTCGGGGATGAGCGAAGTATTTGGTTAGCTTTTAGTGTAACTTTCATGATTCCCATGGCAGTCAATCTTGGCTTTGTGGGTATCCGATAAACTGAAAAGGTCACGTAACACTACATGGCTACATGATTGAGTATTGTTTGCGGATGTAAACATAGAGCGCATCATTTGAATGTACAATTGTTTTTAATTTGGTTGACGCTACCCGACAATATGGAGCTTCAGGACATTGGCTCCTTCTTTTGGAATGAATTGGACTACGGTATATGCGACAAATTCAGTTTTCCGTTTGGAATAAACAGGAAAGAGTGATGAGCAGTTTGTGGAAAACTTGTGCAGATTTTGAAGGCGGATCAAAGGATAAATTGGGCATACAACAGCGTATTCGGCAGTCCATGTTTCAGTTGCATTTAAATCAACTGCGGCATGAGGGATTTAGGGTGGCTGTATATGAGTTTTTCTGTTTCTAATAATCATTCCGAATGCGGAACACCAACTACATAAACATGTTCCGTCTACCAAAATGAACAAATGGGTTCTTCTACAAAGTTCTACCGTTCATCTTTCTGCTAAAAATGCTGGTAAATGCCTCCTTATCCCCCCCTCAGTATGTCAAATTAATTTATTCTGTATGCTAATAAAGCCAAAAAGTGAACTAAACGTCTTTTTGTTCTCAGCCTTATTCTTTTAAATTCGTCTTCGCAAGGATTCATCTTCCTTTCGGCACCCTGATGCAATGAGCGAGGCTAGTTTGTGATGGATCTATATTCAAGCATTTTAACACAGAGTTCTTGTCATACAGTAGATATGACCAAAAGTTCACACATTGAGCTCCACCATCGCGTGTTGCTTTGGTGAACCCCCTGGTGTTATAACCATTGAGGTAAACACTATCACGGGGAAAGTTGTGATCCAACCTAAGCACTATTACCAATCTTTCCTTTTTGTTTGTGTCGGATAGCAGTTATTTGCTTCTCCACCTCTTCATCTCTAGCAATTGCTTGTATATGTGCGTTTACAATAGAAGATGACGGAAACATAATATCAAGAAAAAATGGACCGAAATGGGTCTTCCTTGATGTTCTTTATAACACTAAAGATAATGCAATACCAGTTTACGTATATCTTAATGGCAGGCGATGCCTCAGGTTATTCAGCGGTGCATCCTCTGATCACGAAAAAATGACTCACTTGATTACCAGCTTTCATGCATTACTTTTAAATCCTGATCACTTGCTCGTTTTACCGAACCACTAACTGCCTCATTCTGTGCGTTGAAGAATCGTACTTTCTGCCAGGGATTACTTTCCTGTTGGTGAGCTCTCATCACATTTGATCATGAGGTCAGGCGTTATGTTTTGAGGCACCGCATGCCTGATATTTACTACTATCGGTGTTTTAAATAGATCACACTCATGAGTGCTGTACTCACTTACACAGTTGTGTCTACTCCTCTTTCTTAACTTCTCCTGATCTATCATCAACTTCTTTTGAGAAATTCCTAACCGGCCGATCACTTCACTACTGTTATTTAATGGTTTGATGATGCGAACGCTGGCCTGGGATTGTGCATTTTTGCGTGATTTAAACTCTGAGGGTGAGCCGTTTGAACCAAATAAATTTCCCTACTTGCAGCCCTTTCCATTTCATTTATTCTTTTATGCCAGAATTACGTTCCTTTTCAACGACTTCTACCGTAAAATACTCCCCTTTATATTTTTGAAATGATAATAGGGGAATCGTGTTGGTCCGAATAACTCTAAACAATCTCGTTGGTAGTAGTGCTTTAGACCACCGGGTTTAGTTTTTGAAATATATTCCATGTTTATGACGGGCGGTGGTGGCCCGGCGCTAAGTTCACTAAATTATCACCCCGGGGGACGTGTGTTTTAATTCCACTATGACCAACTAACTTTCCATTTTGTGTATTGCATGGCTGCTCTTTGATTGGCTGCTTCCCATTTCGTGAACACGGTATCTCTTGTTTATTCCATAAAAAAAGTAAAAATGAAAAATGAAAAAATAATAACACCATTGAATTGGATGCGAACACAAATACACATCTCTCTAGATTATAATAACAACAAGTTGGTTTAAAAGATGGAAAATTTCAGAAAAACCCAGGTGAATAAGGATAGTTTTGACAACGATTAAACTTAAGAACTTAACCCGGTGAGCATTGCTTGCCCCTGTGCAACGAAAAATACTTCCGTAAGGTTATTATGAAGCTGATAAATTACTGTACTCTATACTTCATGGTGGCAAGCGCTGTTAATTTTGTATGCCATAGCTCTGCTAAGTGATTGTATGGTCTATTTACATCACAATTTTTAGTTGATTTTTTTCCATAAAATCAAGAGTGATAATATATGTGCATCGAATCTCAGTCATCAACGTTGTCCCACCAGAATGTTTAGTCTAAAAGTGCTAGAATCCTAACGGTTATTTTTATAAAACATTTTTGCAGGATGACAATATTCTCTACCTAATAGATCCATAACATTTTGCCCCATTTTTTTCCAATTCCACATTTCACAGATTTGAAAACCAGTCTTGTTTACGAAAGTCCGCTTGACCAAAATGATGATGACGGAGACCCCATCGTTTCCGGGACGTCAGGGGTTGGAAATAGTTCACTGTGCATGAGCCACGTGGAAATTCCCGGATCGGTGGACCGTCCGCAAGCAGACTATCGGGCATTGCCTTGTCCACGTCTTCCAGATAATCTCACCGGGGATACGGTACCGTTGGTGAACGTGAATTCGATTGTACTGAAAGACGATAGATCCAACAGAAAAGAAAATGTCGAGGATAAATGTGCTGATGTTGGTGGTGGTAATGGTGGGGAAACAAATCCACTTGCTCAATCGGAAAGAATTAAACCTCACTCAAATCACGTGCGAAAACAAGACATTGTGTAGTCAAGGTCGAACTTGAATCCGACGCACTCCTGGAGCAGCTCTCCGTTTTTCTCACTTGTATATGTATGACTGTGAAAGAACGATGTTTATCAGCTGATTTACCCAAATTTAGGATAACCACATACGGTCCATCCATAAAAATTATATTGAAACATTCATATCCCCCCGAATGGCCCATGAAAAAAGTCAAAAGAAAAAAATTTCGAAAATTATTTTGTTTAATGTTCATTGTATCAGTTCATCAAAAAAACGTTGATGATACCGCCGAAGCTGAGATACATCCTCGATACAAAATATAATATTATGATCAGTTATTGTGTAATAATTTATATCCCTTAAACGTTTAACGCATGTAAACCACAAGGAAACGTTCGCTTCTTAATTAGTCCCTAAAATGGTAATTAAAGCAAACTGTAAAGTATAGGTTATTCACAATGCACCAGTTAATGGTCAATTGCAAGGTGGACCTCAATCAACTGATCTAAATTCAATCAGAATCAGGTCAAGGTCATGTACATAGAAAGGTCAATATGCAGCACCTATATAACCAGGGTAAAACCAATGGAGCAATTAAAAATACACCGGAATTGTAGAAAGCAAGTATAAAACAAACCAATTTGCGATGAGTGAGCTAAGTTCAGAATTGAAGCGTTCAAGTTTCATGAGAAATCGGGCAGGATGAGGCATCAAGGGAGATCGGTAGGCATATATGCGAGCGAATATGCACTGATAGTGCGCTTGGGAGTAACAGGGCGCAAGGGTTGATCATTACTTTGTGGATAACGAACGGTAGGTATATGTATGTCGTAAAACGATGAAGTGACAGTGGATTTCATAG